AAAAAAAAAAAAAAAAAAAAAAAAAAAAAATTATGCCCTAACCTCTGCGCGGCGACGGAGAGGGAACATGTACCCATACAAGTAAAGTAAACCCTTGCGCTCGCAAAAATATGTGATGCTACCATTTTATCGTCGTCCTTAAGTAGGAGAAAAAAAAAAAAAAAAAAGAAACGGAACAGAAAGATAACCCTAACCCTATTTGGGATGACATGAGAGAAGAGTACCTGTGTTGAAGAACTCTTACGGTTACCCCTCATGCCACATGGGTTGTTTTAGCTCCCCTGTATGATCCTTCATCATGTTAAGGTGTTTTTTTTATTATATTTTTTTATTTGATTTGATTTTTGTTTTTTTTAATAGCAGCTTTCCCATAGGTGCATGGACGATTCGCACAAACAAGCATGTGTGCGTTGAGAGGGACGAAGGGAATGCCGTCGTCCCGTGTTAATACCCTGGCTTGTGTTGTGCTGACTCCTGCACCTGAGGAGCTGCCTGGGGAGGGCCATGTTGTCACCGCCAGGCGATAGTGTGATGAACACGCCCCGATTTTTTTTTGTAAGTGATTGTTTTTAACCGTTGTGCAGGTTGGAAGTATCTCTGCATGCTCGCCGCTTCTACCAAAGGAAGAAACACACGCACCCATCTGAGGAGGACCCCCCAAACAATTGTGGACACGCCCGATGTAAATTTGCCCAAGGATGAGTGACCACTACGAGCGGTACAGAAAGGACAGGAACAACAGTATCGCCAGTAGCACAAAGAGGAAGAGAAGAGTTAGTCCATACGACAATCATGAAAGGAAGAAGGAGCACCACGAGGACGGGACCTACAAAAGAGCCAAGCCGATGGAAGACGACGACGAGGAGGAGGAAGAAGCGAGCTATGGCAGGGATATGAAATTCTATAGGGAGCGCCTCAGGGAACAGTCGGATGACCGAACAAGGCGAGACCGAGAAAGGGACAAATATTACCAGCGAGGTTACGAACGGGTGAGAGACCGCGAGCGGGACCGCCACAAAAAACACAAGAGGAAAGAACACCTGTACCACAGCAGCGAGGAGGAAGACGAATACGCAGACGGAAGGAATGGCAGAGGCAGACACCACCGAGGGAGCAGCGGAAGGCACCCAGAAGACGCGGAGGCAAGGAGAATGCATCGGGAGAGGGATAAGCACGAAGCGAAGGAGAGCCGTAGGGACAGCAGGAGGTCGAGGAAACGCAGCACCAGTGATGATAGAACCGACGAGGGAAGTAGTGACAGAAGGAATGAACGGGAAGACCTACGACATCATCATGCCTCAGAGCGAAGTAGCTACTCGGAAAAGCACCCCAAGAAGAAGAAGAAGAAAAAAAAAAAAAAAAAAAGCGACTCCTCGTCTGATGAGGGAAGTAGCAGCACCGGGAAGGAGATGCATAAAGGGAGGGAAAGTGATAAAAGGGAAACAGGACGCAGTGAGCGTGGTGGTGGAGAACGACCCAAGGGGGGAGACAAAAATGGACCAGCGGTCGTTACTACTTCTACACCTGCCGCAGCGGGGGCGGATGGGACGGGTGCCAACAGATACCGCGAAGACGAAAGCAAGCTCTCCAGGCTGGAACGACTCAAGCGGTTCGCGCAGAGGATAATGAACATGGGTAGTGAAGAGGCCATCCCTCAGGTCAACCCCGAGGCGATACCCGAGGTGAACCCTAAGGCCAGCGCCAAGGCCACCAAGTTTACACTTAACAAGCCCATCAGCACCGCCGGCAAGAAATTCGACCTTGACGCGTTTGGGGCAGCCAAGCCATATGAAGACGATGTTAAGGTGGCGCAGGAGGAGGAGGAAGAGGGGAAGAAGGATAGTGCCACACGTCCAACCCTGGGAAGAGGGGGCCTGCTGTCCAGTTCACCTCGCAGGGGAGACAGCGGAGAAGAGCTCACGGAAGAATTGCCTGTAGGGGACGATAATGAGGACCCCCTCGAAGTGTTCATGCGAAATTTGGAGCAAAATTGCGAGGAGGTAGACGGCGCGGCTGTGGGCCACAACCAGGCCATAACGCTGGAGGAGATTTATACCTACGATGAGAACCGGCACCGGTTCGAGGGGGCAAAACAGGCAAAGGGGGAGGAGGAAAATGCTCATGGAGAGGCCGTCCACGCGGGGGAAGACAATAAAGAAATGCAAAAAACAGATGAGCAGCTGCCCCCCCAAAGCGCTGACATGGAAGATGACCAGAACGGAGAGGAATACCACCGATTGTTCATGGAAGCGCTGAGGAAGAAAGTTGAGGAGGAGGCAAAAGAGGAAGCCGAAGTGGAAGGCAAAGGGAGGGGAGCTTCTCCATCCCGTGATGCGGGAAGCAATTCGGAGAGCAGCGATCCAATTGAAAATTTCAGCGATGATAGCGAGTACAATGTCGAAACGAATGCTCTGAAGAAAACGAACAAAAAGTTGCTTCAAGTAAATCGTGATCAAGTGGAGTACCTGCCCATAAAAAAAAACATTTACGTGCAGGTAAGCGAGATCACAAATATGAAAGACAGCGACGTAGACCTGTTCAGAAAAAACAATGGTAATATAATTGTGAGAGGAAAAAATTGTCCACGACCAGTACAGTACTTTTACCAGTGTGGATTACCCTCAAGAATTTTACCCATATTAGAAAAAAAAAACTTTAAAAAAATGTTTGGTATACAGATGCAGACAATTCCAGCATTGATGTGTGGGAGGGATGTGATCGCCATTGCCGAGACAGGCAGTGGGAAGACCCTCTGTTATTTGTTTCCCCTCATAAGACACGTCCTTCACCAACCACCCCTTCGCAACAATGATGGCCCAATCGCTATCGTACTTACTCCAACTAGAGAGTTGAGCAAGCAGGTGAAGAGTGAAGCAAAACCCTACTGCCAAGCGGTCAACCTGAGAATTCTTGCCGTGTATGGAGGGTCAAATATTGGCACACAATTAAATACACTGAAAAGAGGAGTGGAAATATTGGTTGGCACTCCAGGGCGTATAATTGATATACTGACCATAAGTAATTGTAAGGTGACTAATTTAAATAGAGTTTCCTTTGTGGTCCTAGATGAAGCAGATCGTTTATTAGACCTAGGATTCGAATCTCAAATACATAACATACTTAACAACTGCAGGAAGGATAAACAGACGGCCATGATTTCAGCCACCTTCCCCACGTACATACAAAATTTAGCCAAGAGGTTGCTTTATAAGCCCATTGAAATTATTGTAGGTGAAAAAGGAAAGACAAACAATAACATATACCAATTTGTGGAAGTTGTAGAAGCGAGGAAAAAAATATACAGACTGCTGAAACTGCTTGGAGACTGGACCACCTATGGGTTGATACTCATTTTTGTGAATAAGCAATTAGAAGCAGATGTGTTATACCTGGAACTGTTTAAGTATGAATACAAGACGCTAGTTTTGCATGGTGGCCAGGATCAGGCAGATAGGGAATTCACTTTACAAACATTCAAAGAGGGGAAAAACAAAATACTCATTGCCACCTCAGTCATGGCCAGAGGTATTGACATAAAGGACATTATCGTTGTTATTAATTATGAGTGTCCTGATCATATAGAAGATTATATTCATCGTGTTGGAAGAACAGGGAGGTCGAACAAGATTGGCTATGCCTACACCTTTGTCACCCCTGACGAACATGCAAAGGCATATGATATATACAACCTCATTAAGAACAATATATATTATATGAACAAAACGATTGACATCCCTAGAGAGTTGGAAGAGCTAGTGCGCGAGTATACACAAAGCAGCAACTATGCTGAGGTGAAGAAGAAGGGATACAAAGGGAAAGGGTTCAAGTTTACTCCTAATGAAAAGTCTCGCCTTCAGATGGATAAAGCCAATGCCAAGAGGGAACTGGGGTTAGTGCGCGACAAGGAGGGGGCGGCGGACAACCCTCCAGGGGCAGAGGCCTCCGATGGGGAAGTGGAAGGAGCATTAGAGGGAGCAAGCGGAAGAGCGGCAGGTAGAGCAGGGGAAGGTTCTTCTATACTGGGGGGTAATGCTCCTGCGGTTGGAAGTACCCAGCCGGGCGCGCAACAGAGGCAAACGCAACAGAGGCAAGCGCAACCGCCTCCCCCACCACCACCCCCGCCGGGAGAGCCAAACCCACAATGCGAAATAAAACGAATCGAACTCGAAATACAAAGGATAAAAATGAATGACACCATGGACCTGTCGCTAAAGGCCAAGCAGATAAACGAGCTAATGAAAACCTACAACTTCGTGCAACAGCAGCAGAACACGCTCAAAAAAAATGCAGAAGCCGCACAAGAAGCAGAGATAGAAAAAATGGCCGAACAGGAAGCCACCAAGGCAACCCAACACATAAAAAATGAAACGGAAAGACAGCAACTCTTTAATAAAATTAAACAAGACGTGAAGAAAAAACTAATGGACGGCAAGCTGCAGAGCAACTCCAAAGCAGAAAACATTCACAGAAATATGCTTCTGAACTCGATGAGGACACGAAACATGAAAAAATACTCTCCCTTCATTCCTCACACTTATGTGATGGAAGACAACTCCATCATGCAGGAGTTCTACATTAATGACTACCCGCAACACGTGCGGCTCAAGATTTGCAACCGGGAGGTACTCTCTCGTATTTCAGACATGTCTGGTGCAAGGTGCCAGATAAAGGGCCAGTACTCCAACCCCAATCAGCCAAATAAGACCACCTTCCTGCTTGACGCCAAGCCCCTACACATTGAAATCACCGCGTCCAATTACAACCAGGTGCAGATTGCGCACAACGAGTTCACATCGATCATCAACCAGGTACTTCAGAATAGCAACATGAAGGGCCACCGCAAGGGGTGAAGAGAAGGGACATGTGCAAGGAAAAGCACAACGCGGATGCAACTATAATAGAGGGCATATGTCGTACACTCATTGCGAACGCGTGGCAGACACACCATCACGCAGTTCACTCTGTTGCACATGTCTCGTGGATCATGTCGAGTTGTTAGCCATTTCGTTTGCGTTTCTCCACCTAGTTGGCTAGCCTTTTTTTTTTTAATCATTAAGTGGGCTAGCGTGTACGCCGCTGAGTGGGGCACAACACGTCAAGTTGCCACTCCGCCTACATTTTGACCTGTCCCGCGTGCCCATATGTTTCTGTCCTTTTTCTTGTTTTTTGGGCGTTTTTTTCCAGTACATTTGGCACTTGCCCATTTGTATCGTAACATTCAAAACGCCATTTTTGTGGTTTTTTTTTTTTTTTTCTCTTCGCCACCGTTTGGCAGACCACTTAGTAGTGTCGCTGCTCCTACACACATTCGTATCTTTGGGAAAGGTTTCAAAGGGGTGCTGCAAAGAAGCCCACGCGCGAGCACAGTTTGTTGTTGACTTGTTTAAAAAGCACCACCCACGGTGGGACAAAAAAAAAAAAAAAAAAGAGGGCAGCCGGAGGTGTGGTCACTTGCACACACACGCGGCACCAATTGCATACAAATAGGTGCACACCGCTTGCAACTTGGGAAAAACGACATTAACTGTTCAGAAAAAAAAAAAATAATAAAATGGCTACCTAGTTGGCTAGCTCCAGCACGGAGTATGCTACGCTATGTTGTGCTATTTTATTCTTTTCTGAACAGTTCATGTCGCTTTCCCCGTCCAAGTTGTAAACGGGGGATGCACGGGACAAATGCGGACCGCTCGGGGGACGCGATCCTATCTTGCCAGGGACACCATCAATCACGCAGTGGTCAAAGTTATTCAAATGCGCAAAAAAAAAAAAAAAAAAAAAAATATGACAGATTGGCTAGCTGGCCAGGTAAGAAGCTTCTATATTCTTTGGGGCAACGAGTGAGCATCCCTCTTAAACGTCCGAAGCAGCACAACGAAACACTTACGCCGTGTCCACTTTCACCACTTGTCATTCTTCAAACTCCTGCGTGTTCATCTTGTCGTAGATGCCCTCCTCCTTCCCGAGGCCATCTTCCAGTGAATCGAACCCCTCTGCAGCAGCGCCGTCCAGTCCGTGTGCAAAGTCATCCTGTTCCACATCACCATCACTGTGACCATTCGATGGGGTTATCCCTTCGTCGGAGTTTCCCCCCAAACTGCTAGAAACATTTGCTTCACTCGTTGAAGTAGAGCTTTCACTACTCTGTGCATTTGAAGCATTTCGTGAAATAAAATTTCGTTTGTCATCCAAAAATATTAAATCGCCTTTATTGTAGGATAACACCACTTCAGTTATCTGTCTCGGCTGATTGTTCAGGTCATTACCGAACCATCTCCTCGTGTGTAGCGATCCTTGTATGTATACTCTTCTTCCCTTTCGTAAAAATTTATCCACAAGGTCAACAATGTTTTGATCATATACCACAACGCGATGCCAGTCCGTCTTGGACTTCAATTCATTTGTGTTTCTGTCTCTCCAAAATTCATTTGTTGCCAAGCTGAACGTGGCAACCTTGTCTCCTCCATTTAAAATTTTAATATCTGGTTCGCATCCAACTCGTCCTATGAGCATAATTTTGTTCAGCGACTTCTCCCCCGTCATGGGTCTGTTGTTGTAGTACCTCTTACCCTCATAGTTATAATCGCTTTGTAATTTCGTTTTGAAGAAATTTACCTTGCGCGTTGAATTTCTCCGCTGGCCTGAAATACCGCCCAGAGTAAATTTCTGCAACTGGGGGTCCCCCACGTATCCCCATATGGCTGGAAGGCACAGGACGTACAGGACGCTGCTTAGCAGTAGCGCTTTCATGCTTCCGTTTGGGGGGAGGGAGGGACAAGCGAGAGTAGCCTAGTGGGCAGAAGCGAACAGCCGACGTCGGTGGGCAACCTGCCACGCGTTAGAGGCAACCGTCAATGTGCTCTGTTCGTGATCATGTCGACGAAGCAGCCACGTGAAACAGCCATGTAAAACGGCTATATATAATAGCCAGCGGGAGGTAGGGGAAAACTGAAGCCACACGGATTTATCAATCGAAAAGGGAAAAAAAAAAAAAAAAAAAAAAGTTTCATCCGTGTGTTTTTTCCTCTATTTCTCTCTATGCACCTTTGGAACTCTTCCTTGGTGAGATCAAAATGGAGAAGGAACACGTGCGTGGGGGGACAGGGAGCCATACCCTTGGTATAGGTGTGCACCGTTTCTCACATTCGAACATTAACCCTGGGCGGGTCGTGCAGAACGAAGCCATTCCTCACAAACTGTGTTACATGAGTAGTCCACCTGACCAGGTCGCTGCACAATAAACTACCGATCAACCCAACTACCGAATCGCACTGCAAGTGGGGGAAAAAAAAAAAAAGCGACACAGAAGATAGGCAAGCCGCCCCCATCCTGTTTGTTGCCATCTCTATTAAGCTGTGAATACACAAAAGGATTTTAATGGTCCCCCCAAAGTGTGGGCCCTTTTTGTTTTGACGACAAAGCAGGTCACTCTGACCCCGCGGTGCTCGTGGAAAAGGGGAAAAAATGGAGTTTACACGCATAAAGTAGGCCACCTATGCACCATTATCCCCTTCTGTACGTTCAACGTCGCTGTACTGCTGCACTTATAGTGGAGTGCCCATCGTGGGTCTACTTCTTGTAAACCGCTTGTGCATGTTTGCCCCTCCATTTGAAATTGCAGTCAGGACTACTCTGCCCTTTTTGTTGTTTTGCCTTCTCGGTCACGATTGGGTATAAGTGGGCGAACATTGCGCCATGCTCTCCTCCTGCAGCCACACAGCAAGGGCTCCTCCATTGTGGTCTAGCATGCGAAACGTGCACTGCAGACTGACCAGGATACTCCTTCTTTGCGCTACACAACGGATTGAACAGTTGTGCCCACCTACCAGTAACACGTGTTGCATACCATTGGTCCTCACTGCAAGGAGGAACATTACACGCAACAGAAGGAGACACACCTGAGGTTGATGCTGTGACAAAGATTGTGCCTCTTACCAGTATGTTCACGAAACATATTGACCTCCAATTGATAATTTTCCTTCCCTAGAACAAAACAAAGCGTGTGAGGTCTCCTTTTTTTTTTTTTTTTTTTTTTCGTATTTTCCCATGCAAGCTTGGCGAATAATCATAAAACAACTTTTCTTCCCTCTCCCTGGTGCATACGTGTGTATGTATTTTTGTCCTTGTCCATTTTCACTTCCCTTCTCTCGCCCCTAAACTGCACGTCAGTGCATGTGTAGCCTACCCCATGAGTGGATACATTTCATGGGGTCCCCCATTTGCACACGATGTGCAGTGGAAGGACGGAAAAGACTACACTATTAAGGGCGGGAAAGAGGGAAAAAAAAAAAAAAAAAAAAAAAAACACTCTTCCATTTGTTTACTTAACCCGTTAACTGGCTAATCGCTTCCACACGAGGTTTATGCACCTTCCATGCGCACACGAAGAGGGCACATATGCGAATGGGGGAAAATATATGAAGATAGGCAAGGGAACCGTCCCGTGCGCCTCATGTACATACAGAAGACAAGGAAAAAAGCAAAGCAACGCGAAACAGAACAGCGACAAACCAAACAGCGCGAAGGACAAGTACTACCTCCCCTCGCAGTCTCTTTCAATGGTTACTATGTCGCCACTAGTTCTTCGCCCCATCTCCATCGCGTCCTTCCAAATCACTCTTCAACGCAAGCGAAAGGATCATCATTAACCTCGCCCAAGGTGCACTACGGGCAGACATATGCGTCGGTGCATTCGCGCTAACCGGGTTGGCGACAAATTCACTGGTGTGTAATCGCTTCGGTATTGCAACACGCTCGCCTTTCCATGGACATATGCTTGCCACCCCCTCCTCTCGTATGCCCGCACAACCACGCGGACGCAGCTTAAGACCTCCCTCCCCTCAGCCAAAACGGAAAAAAAAAAAAAATAAAAATAATTCTTTCCCTAATGTTGGGGTAAACCCGTTTACACTTAAAAAAAAAAAAAAAAAAAAA